TTTGTTTGTTTGTTTGTTTTTATTTTCATGTTACTTAATTTTAAGTGGGAACCCAACTGGAAAGCAAAACAGCAAAGCCCACTGCCTAAATTACAGTCAAGTAAAATAATTAAAACTCAGTCTTGGTGCCGTGTCAAAAATGTTGAGAAACACATCTGATGTTAGTATAAGTAAATTTTTGGAGCATTTTACTGACCAGAGGCTCTGTAAATACAACTCAATACATACCTGAAGGGCAATAGTCACATTTAGAGGCAAATTTATTCCTTTAGACAGCATTGCTAATTTCACTTGCTTATCTTCAGGAGCTGAGATTTTAGGTAAAATATGTTGTATTTCAGGGTTTGCATTGAAATCATAAGATCTGGCAACCCTGTTTATCTTTCTGGTACCATCCTCGGGACTGCCTCCATCACCTCAAATGCTGACCCGTGCCCTCACTTCAGGGAGTTCGCCACGGCCATCGCTGATGTCCCTGACGGCCACAGGAGTTAAACGGGTCCCGCCAGCTTGTTTGGGCCACTTGTGTTTAACGCTTGCCCGGAATAAGCTGTAAAACTACTCTGCGGGAAGCGGTTGGTAAGAAACCCGTACCTTTGCTCGCCGTACCTCTGGGATGTGGGTCAGCCGGTCCCTGCGAGGGAACTCCGCTGCGGGAAGCGGTTGGTAAGAACCCCGTACCTTTCCTCGCCGTCCCTCTGGGATGTGGGTCAGCCGGTCCCTGCGAGGGCACGGGGGTTACGGGGTCGGGCTTCTTGCTGCTGCCGGCAAGCGTCTTGTTTTGCCCTCGCTGAGCCACGATAGCAGATTCGATCTTTGCCCAGTAAACAAAGTATGATTGGACTACGGAGATGCTGTTAAAACATAATTAGGCAAGAATTTACTGGCTCTATAGCATTAATAAAACATCTGACTGTTTAGCTAATCACAAGGACTGCTTTAGTCCAAAGACAGAAGCGATGCACAAGTATTTTAAAGGATTAGCCCGTCACACATTTTATATCACAAATAGAAGATACCAGGTCCCATAAGAAAGATATGGGGTGAAGAATCACCACTCATAATTAAGATCAGCCAAAAAAATGTGTGGGAACTTAAATAAGAAAAAAAAAAAAGCTATTATATTTGCTGCATTGATAGAAGTACATTTGGAAAACTTGGACTAGCTCTGCTTATAATCTTCCGTAGGCAGGGAAACAACAGTGGTATTTACTAATTAAAACAAGTCAATGTAACTTGCACAAACAGCGGGGGGGGGGGGGGGGGGAAGTCTCTTTTCTCAGCCCTCTGATATTTCAGCCTGCCTAACCCTCTGCTTTTTGTCAGGTGCCAAAACTGCATTGGCCAACCTTTAACTGTTCACTCGGAGAACCTTATTTAAGCTGGAGATTTGGGGGGAATTTCAGCTCAGATTGCTCAGCTGCTTCTGAGAATTAGCTAAGGGGAAACCAACCCGGGTTTTCCTGTGCCAGATGAGTCTTACGAGGCATTTTTAAGCCTAACAAGGAGTTTTTCCAGATGCTGTGGTAGGGGGAAAAGGGAGAGGCTATCAGAAATCAGCTTGGAGGGTCAAAAGCCAGAGGGTGAAGGAAGCGTCAGAGCAGGTGGCTAGGAATAGGTGTTGTTGGGTTTGGGTTGGGTTTATTCTGTTGCTTGAATTTTATGTGTTTTTAATAGTATTTCCCGATGTAAAACAACAGGCAAAAATTGGAAATGCCAAGCAGCAATATTTCTGTTTCAATGAATTTGTGTTGAATCACAATGAGATGCACAAGCCACGGCACTCACCAGGACGCTTATCTTTTGGGGCGCAGCCAAGGATCTGGCCAAGCAGCTTCTAAGTGGTTTTGTAAAGTCAAAACATAACAATTTAATCTCTTCCAAAATGAAAAGTCGCTGTGCTTCCTTTAAGACAGCCAGTTAGATGATGTTTAATTTCATTCCAAATCAGAACCAAAATATTTGGGCAGTTTGGGACTTCGGTGCAAAACAGAGATGTCAAGTTTTGACCCAGTGCTCACTCTGTCTTCCTACTGTGAATAATTGTGTTTACATTGTAACTTTTTAAAAAAACACTAATTTTTTTTTTTTTTTAAAGAAGTGATATACAAGATTATTCTGTAGGCAGGGAAGTTCTGTGGGCTGTATTATTTAGAAAGATAGGCAACGTTATCACAGTTCTCTCTTTATGCCTTAACATTTCTATTTCCCAAGTTCTAGTTCTTAGGCTGTCATCTTCCAGTGTATTTATTCTGAGAGATAGTGACCATGTAAATAAAAAGCAGCGCTACCCAGCAGATGTAAATGGTGATTTATGTACCAGCTGGGACACTGTTGCAGCATTTGATAAGTATTTAGCTATATGGGGTTCAAGATACATAAACCACTGTGCTGGACAATGGAAAAATAAAACCAAGCCTTTAACTGAGAAGACACAAAGTCTGGTTAGGAACAGCATGTTCTTACAAAAACTTGATGTCTCCAATGGGTTGGTCTGGTGCTTTCCATACGAAGGACAGGTTTCTCTTCAGTGACTTGTCCGAGTGGGTGACGGTGTCACCATCTTCAAAACAAGTCAGCAGCTTGGAACCAGGAGGGATGAAGACAAATGTGCCAGCGATTTCATCGTTAGACACTTTGCGAGCTTGAAGCAAAAAGCCCATAAAATCCCGGGTGCTCCTCACTGTCACTGCAAGACAAAACACAGGACACGAAGGAGCGGCGATGCTGGGGATGGGGCACGCTGCCCAACCATACCTAAGAGTCAGGCGAGTCACCCAGACCCCTTCGTGCAGTGCAGAGGAGCAGGGAAGGTGACTTCACCCTCTGGAGGTGCCTCTCACGTGCCACGGTGTGTGATGAGGTCTGGTATGGTTGAGACACAATTGAGATAAATTAATCCCACCCAGAGCATCCAAACCTACCGGCTGCCTCCGGCAAACAGTTGGTCTGCAACATGGTGAAAACCTGGAGTCAGCCGTCCCCTGAGAAACCTTAGGCCAAGCACTGCAAACAGAATCCCTCTGTAAATACGTTCATTTCCTCACGACGAGAGCGGTGGCGTTGCTCACTCGGAGCAGTTATCCCTCTTCACAAAGATTAATGCCATCACTCGAGATTAGTTATCATGTATTTTTCAGATGCAGGAATGAGCAGCTGTTCCTTACCTGGAACCTTGTCGCCTGGGAAGTAGAAGGACATGTTGGTGTGGACAGTAACGTAGTCGTTGCTGGGGCTGTGCAGCTGCGCTCTCAGGTGCCTGGGCATCATGTCGGTGCAGGCAGAAAGGCTCGCGCCGTCCGAGAAGGCGGACACGTAGGAGACCAAGCACAGGGTTGTCCCCCCCCAGCCGATGATGGCGATGTGGGCTCTCCTGCCGTCCTCCATCCTACGGTGGAAAACAACGGGCAGGTTCATTTCAAAGCAGCGTCTTCAGTAGCCTGTGAGCCCGTCTGGTGCCTTTGAATTAGCTGAGCTCCAGAGCCTCCTTTAAACAAAGGAGAATAAATGATCCCTGTGGAGCCACTTCGGTAATCCACAGCATTTCACATTTTGAAGTAAATTGGGAGGGAAGAGGCCCCGCAAGAGGATGCATTTCTTGCGAAGTCAGCCATGGAGGGAGTGGTCGGGGAAGATGTGCTCTAAAAAGTCTTGTGGCATTTAGGAAGAGGAGAAGGCTCTGTACGACCGCGCGCAGCACGCTCCGCCATTCCCAGCCCGAATGTACAACCTGATCAATGGGGGAAACATCTACCCCTTTGCAGAGCTGCTGCAGGCCCCGTCCCGCGCAGGGCTGGTGCCCAGCACAGGGCCTCTCCCTGCCCCTCGCTCTGGCCTGCGGAAGCACGAGGCACCTTTTAG